TTTAATTTAATATTATATCAATTAAAATTATCAATTCTTTCACCTCCGCGGCTATCGTTCTTAATTTCTTCATATTATTCTAATTTATATTGAATTTAATATGAAAAATATTGTGTGTATAATTAATTTTTTCAAATATTTGTTTATTAGTATTTTTCGTCCTTTACGTAAACCGGATTCCGCCCCCCCCCCTCCCCCCCCGAAAATTAAATCCTAGCTCCGCCCCTGCATGGCACGACAAGAAAACTGACAGGTCGTGCCAAGTACGACACGAAATAAATGGGCTCGAAGCGTGCACGTGCCGTGCCGGCCCAAGCACGGCCCAACGCCCATGTACACTCATATGCTGCCGACCATTGAGCGACAATAACCAGGAGACATATGATTAGCTTGCCTATGCAACGCTTGTCATTCTCTGCTCTCTCGCTCATGCAAACATAGTTATATATTTGCTTTTCTCCAAATTTCCTACTTTTCGTCTTTCATTTTGCAAAACCGGAGGCAACTCAACCTCCTACATCGTTTTCTAATCAATAGAACCATATCTCGCCACATGAGTAAGTGGTCTGCGATAGGCTATAGAGAAATAAGAACCTGGCCTTCGGACCAGGTAAATTTGACACTCCCTACAACGACATCAATATATCTCACCATATATGATGATTAAGAATTTGAGTACGTGATCAAATATGTCTCATTTATAATTTTAAAGATATTATAAATCATAAATCATAATTGCTCATATACTAATTACTATTAAAGAATATTATATGAATAATTAAAAATTATTAACTAAATGATATGATACCTAAGCTCGATCTAATTGATGAGTCGAACTCAAGTAGAGCTCCTAAACTCATTAAAGAGTTAAGCTCGAATCGAACTAAAGTCAAACGCAAAACAATATTTTTATAAACAAATCGGGGATTTTTTCAATAATAGCACCTTTAAAAAAAATAGCACCCATGTAAAAAAAATTACAAAACTAGCACCTTATTTTTTAGAACGCACCCCTAAGATGCGTTTTAAATGTAAAACGCACCAAACAGATGCGATCTACATGTAAAACGCATAAGAGGGATGCAATCCATAATATAAAACGCACCAGACTGATGCGATTTGGGGAGGACGCGTTGCGATCCACAAGATCGTCGGATTGACGGACGATCCAACGGCTCAGCGCACGCCAGCGGAGCGATCCGCGCCTTGGATCCCAGATCACACGCCAGCAATGCAATCCGCGCCAAGGTCAGTCAAACCGCATTGGGAGGGTGCAATCTGCGCCTGGGGAAGCGGAAAACGCATGGGAAGAATGCGATCCGCGCGGGGCAAAATTACCGCCTCGTCCTTGGAGCCTGCGATCTGAATCCTATAAATAGCCCCCCTCCCCCTCTCATTTCTTCACACCACAACCCATTCTTCCTTCTCTCTCTAAGTTTTATCTCTCTAAACCCTCCCCCTCCCAAAAGCCTAGGAAATAGTGGTCTATTGGTTGCGGCAAAGTCCGATCTGCCATTAGAAAACATTTCTTAGGTTTTTTCCTCAAAACCCGCCGAGCCGAGCCGAAGCTCTGTCCGAATTGCGCCGAGAAAATGGCCGATTGGTGGCAAGGAGAAGGAGTTTTTTTTATGAATTTCAAGCGGTACTTACTCATTATTCGGGTTTAATTTTTGTTGTTGTTATCTTGCTTTTTAATTAATCTATTTACTAACCTCGTTGTTATTTTCTCGTAGGCTGCGGAGGACGTCGATATTTACAACCAACGGTATTATCTCGAGCAAGGACCGTTGGATCCAACTGACTTGTACGACCAACCCAACCATCGGTCAAGGGATGTTTGGAACGCTCACCCGGTACATACAATTCTTTACCATTTGTCCTTCTTTTATTTTGTTAATGTATTTAGTGAAATATAAAATAAATTAATGTTGAATTTTTAATCGTGTTGGTTGTTTTCAATAATTTAATCGAATACATTGCGCCACTTACTTCGACTCTTTATAAAGAGATGCACGTCTAAGGAAATGGGGTTTTAAGCGATTATCATATCCTCCCATTCCCTGGGAAAATCGGGTATTAAGAGATCCTCGGATCCCCCCTTTTTCTGTCAACAAGACTGCGTTTCTAAGAAGATGTATACCTCTTCTAAGAGTCTAACGAGTGTTGCTTTGTATTCGATTAAATTATTTAAAACAACCAAAACGATTAAATAATTTACCAAACAGTTCTTACGATTTATTTTTATGTGTACAAATGGAATTTTATTAATTTCAAACAATTGAATATGTATGTTTCTCTTTAAAATAGTGATTCATTAACAATGTCATTTAATTTAGTTAATTTAGTATGTTTATTTTACGATAATTAGTATGTATCTCTTTATGAAATTATTCATTTAGAATGTTATTATGTTAATTAATTTAGGATGTTCGTTTTATGATAATATGTATGTATCTCTTTAAATTATTATTAATTTATAATGTTATTATGTTAATTAATTTAGGATGTTCGTTTTATGATAATATGTATGTATCTCTTTAAATTATTATTAATTTATAATGCTATTATGTTAATTATATGAAATGTCTTTTTATGATCGCCATAATATTCACCTCCACCATGGATACCAGATGTTTGACCGTGTCCAGAATGACCTCCAACGCCTACGACCGGCTCGGTGTAAACGAACATCTCGGCTTTGGAAAGATTGTTGGACCTCATGAATTCGAGCAATGTAGTTAAACTATAGTTTTTATGTATAAGCGAAATGATGGGTACAAACTTAAGCGTAAAAGCGGAGCGTAAGAACGTAAGTTTATATGAACCATTGAAATTGTAAAAAAGCAACTTAAAAGACTAATAGGATCCACACAGAGAAAATTGGAAAAGATTTTGAACTAGAGTACATTCTAACTCAGAACAAGTTCATAAACATAGAAAAAGAGTTGAATCGTACGCTAATATGAATCATAACTCTGAAATATTCATATTATGGACATCACAAGCCCCCCAAAAAAATTGATCATGATTTATGCTACATTTGGGCAGCAACGTCCACATTTCCATCCAAATCATATCATCTTAATTACCGCCATCATCATAGTTGTTATTGTCACTAACATCATGCTCCTCATAAATACATCAATCATCATTCATGTTAAAAGAATCATTTTGAAGCCAGCGGCATGATCACTTTAGTTTTTTCATCCACAAAAAATCATTTGACCATCGCACGACGTGCCAAATCGCTCCATAAACATTATCATTAAAAGCTCTTATAAGCGTCCTAAAAGCTAGCTTTTAAGGATTTTTTATGCACATATTGTGGTTTTAAAGAGTTTATATTAAGCTTATGGTGTCAAAAGATTTTTCAAAGAAAATTACTATATTGGAGGAGGTAAGAACTTAAAAGCGTAAGCTTTTAGGCTTAAACTATAGCTTTTAACTACATTGAATTCGAGCATGGCGTCTACCTCATCCTGAGTGGTTATGAGATATTCCTCATGCCACAATGACCTACTTTCTCTGTTTGGATATCGGTACACCATACGATCAACTTTTCTCGTGCCATCCATGCAAGTAACGTTAGTGCACATTTGATGGAGGTCTTCAAGCAGCGGTCTGGTAGCGACCTTTATCTTCTGAAAATTGCCACCTACGTAGGTGGCACCCTTTCCGGTCTCTTCCGTGTAACCATTCCACTGTAAGCCAAGCGTGAACTTTTGGAATGCCATCTGCGATAAAACCGTTGTTAAGTTAATATCATAAAAAAAAATTAACAATAAAAAGTAATACTAAATCAACTTACGAGTTAACGTTAATCACAAAACTATTAAAGAAATATGTAATACTAAATCAACTTACGAGTTAACGTTAATCGCAAAACTACTAAAGAAATATGTAATACTAAATCAACTTACGAGTTAACGTTAATCGCAAAACTACTAAAGAAATATGTAATACTAAATCAACTTACGAGTTAACGTTAATCGCAAAACTACTAAAGAAATATAGAGCTACAACAGAAAATTGAAAAGGGAAGGGAGAAGGAGAGGTGTGAAGAGAAATGGTTGTCCGGGAGGCCTTTTATAGGCAAAATCTTGATGAAAACCGCACCTTAGAGATGCGATTTTCGTCTGCCATGCAGGCCCATGCAGACCCACGTCTGTAACGTCTGTATGGTATATGGTATGTCGGAAATTGATTGACCAAAACCGCACCTTTAAGGTGTGGTTTGCATGTTAAAATCGCATCCTCATGGTGCGATTTTGTCTGGCAGAAACAAATTGCACCTCGGCCATGCGATTTTACTAGGTCAGACATAAAATCGCTCCTTGGCCATGCGATTTCAGTAGGTCAGACCTAAAATCGCACCTCGGCCATGCGATTTTACTAGGTCAGACCTAAAATCGCTTGGCTAAAGTGCAATTTGATTCCAGATTTTTGGAACGCACTTGTAGGGTGCGATCTATATTTAAAACGCACTTGTAGGGTGCGATTTATATGTAAAACGCATCTACAAGGTGCGTTCTATTAAAAAGAGTGCTATTAGTGGAAATTTTTACGGATGGGTGCTATTTTTGTAATTTTTTTTTAAAGGTGCTATTTCTGGAAAAATCCCAACAAATCGATAACCTTTCATAATTTATTAATGAACCAAACTCAATTTAAACCAATATCCGACTCGACTCGACTCATTTACAACATACTCTCATATGCTAAAACGTAAACGGTAAAAGTAACACTTTCTAGTTTAGAGAAAAAAGAAAAAAAAAAGTGGAGGAAAGGAAGAAAAAATTAGAAGCCTCTCATTTTGCGTTGCTTTTATTTTTCTCAAGGTTCCCAAATTCCTCACATTACTCAGAGTCAGAGGAAAGATACCTTTCTCTTTTTCTTCTCTGTTTTCTCGTTCCCCCGCTCTCTTCTGTTTTTATCTCTTCTTCGTTCACCTCGGAAATTAGGGCTTTTTGTTTTCGAAAGTAATTGAAATGCGGTGAGCAATGGAGCAACCTGAATCAGCCGATTCCATTTCTGATCCCAGCCAACTCGCGATTCAATCTCCCTCGTCCTCGCCCCCGCCCCCTCTTCAGGATCCAGATCCTCAACCCTCCTCGTATGAGCATGCTCCTCCTGATCACGCCGCCGACAAGGATGAAGAGCAGCTGGTTGAGAGGCAGCTGCAGCTGAAGCAGACTCACGGCAAGGAGGAGGATAGAGAGGTAGAGGGAGTGGTGGTGGTGACCGAGAGACATTTGGGCCAGTTGAATGGGCAAAGAGAGGTTGAGGAGCAGCCGGAGCACCATAACAATGGCGATAGTGATGTGGTTGAAGAAACGAATGTTCCGGATATGAATGAGCACGCTGAGACACTGGAGGAGTTGGAGGAGAATGAAGGTGGCGAGGAGGTCGAGGAGTGGAATCATGCGACAAGCAATGGCGGTGGGATGATTAGGCAGCACCAGTTTCCGGTGAGGCCTGACGCCGAAGATTGCTCTTACTATATGAAGACAGGGAATTGCAGATTCGCCTCCAATTGCAAATTTAACCACCCGGTTAAGAGGAAAACCCAGGTCCCAAAAGTGTTTTTTTAATGTGTTTTTCTACATGCATTTTCTGGCAGTTCAGTTTTCTTTCTCCCCCAATCCTAAATGAGTTGCTTTTTCAGCTCATATCAATAGGTTAATACTGTTTTAGTTGTTTTGTTTCTGTTTGGAGAATTGGCCGTGAAATGAGCATCGTAAGGCCTTGCTGACTTCTACTTGTTTTGCTATGTGAAAGGTGACAAGGGAAAGAATGTGGGAGAAAGAAGAATCAGCAGAGAGACCAGGGCAGATTGAATGCAAGGTTATTTGTTGCTTTATGTTTCCCGATCACTGAGTGCGTGCATTTGCCTTTCATGGTGTTGCTTTTCTTGATATCCCATTCGCATTATTGTAATATTAGTAAGTCATGAGGTTAGTCCTTTTGGCCTGAGTGTCTTCTCAATCGGGATGTTATGGTTATTTCACTAGGACGTTATCCAGGTTAGTTCAATGATGGATAAAAGTCATGAGTACAAGGTTAGCTTAACAATCCACATTGGACCAGAAGCTACTCAGTTTCCCCATTTCAGGCGTCCAGCAATTGGAACTATTATGGAACTGTGTAGTATTCTAGTCGATATAAAAATCTCATCTCATCAGGAATATACGACTTCTAGTTTTGTAGGCAGGAGACTAGGCTGTAAATTTCATCTTGGGAACTTTTAGACAACTCATTAACTGCCAAGCTAGGTGAGAATGTCCCATTTAAGTACCTAGCGGACGAGTCATCTCTTGCACTAGTTATTACTTGTGGAACTCTTTTCTTATTGGCATCCTCATTGCGTATTCAAGTTAACAATGGATTTCTCTGGTCATGTAATTAACTTGAGTTTTTATAGTATTACTTGAGGACAGGGGGCTGTAAATATGGAAAAGCTTGTAGATTCAACCACTCCAAATTAAGAGCTCCACCAGTCTCTGCAAAGTCACCAGTGATGCAGATTCTTGAGTTTAACTTTCTTGGTCTACCGATCCGAGTGGTATACCTTCCAATTTTGCAATTAGATAGCAGTTGTAACTTTACCAATCCATGGATAAAGTAATGCTCATTTGTATTTTGACCTTCCTCAGGGAGAGAAAGAGTGTCCATATTATATGCGCAATGGTTCCTGCAAGTATGGGTCAAACTGCAGGTTTAATCATCCTGATCCAACAGTGGTGGGGGAAAATGAAAATTCTTCAACAATTGCTAATGGTGGATCTCCATCTATCAATGCATCATCACATTCAAACATACCACCATGGTCTCCGCTACCGCCAAGACCAGCACTGAGCGAGGCTCTCCCTTATGTCCCAATAATGTTTCCCCCAAATCAAGGGGCAAATTCCCAGAATCTGGAATGGAATGGGTATCAGGTATGTAATGTCGTTGGATGAAATCAAGGATTTTCCCATTAGTGCCTCTTACTCCTTTTCTTACAGGTGTTCTCTAAACCTAATTTTATGGCTCTTCATTTGGTCCCTGTGTTTTAGTTTCATGCAGACACATGATCTTACTTCATTGCAAGTATTATGGCTTCTGGCTTCTTTATCTGATGGTGTGAATATGATAAGATCCTCCAATACCCCTAGATTGCAAACTCTGATAGTACTGGCACTGTTTATTTTTACTCATGCTCCGAACCTTCTCAGAAACCTTACCATTGAAAGCTTGTAAATAGAACCTGCAACTGAACAAATTAAGAAGAAAGGTAAATGGTGCATTTACTCAATGCTTTACAAAGAGGTGTATGTATAATTAGCTTGATGCATGTAAGACAGTGATGCTGCTTGGAGACTAAAAAGGATAAGTTCTTGAAAACAAATGGTTCTTAACACTTAATTAGTAGCTATGTGAATATGAATACAATCTCTGCAATATGTCTTGTTTTCACTGGGCTTGATGTTTATGCCCCCAATTTGCCAAACCCATAATGTCACTACAATGTAGTAAGTTGAAGTGATTTCTTTATGCAATGACTTGAGTCATGTTTCTATGTTACCCTGTAATTTTTGTTTTTTGAAAAATGCTCATCCTAAAACTTGACGGTACATTTCTTTATTTTTGTGGCTTCTAAAGGCTCCTGTATATCCTTCGCCAGAGCGAGGTATGGCTACCTCTCCTCTGCCATATGTCATGACCAACCCTGCAATAGGAACAAATATTTACAGTCATCAGCAAAAACCCATGGTGGTAGATGAGTACCCAGAGCGACCTGGTCAACCAGACTGCAGTTATTTCTTGAAAACTGGGGGTTGCAAGTTTAAGGGCAATTGCAAGTTTAATCATCCTAAGAATTGGATCACAAAATCGCCTTCCTGTGTTCTTAGTGATAAGGGCCTGCCATTGAGACCTGTAAGTTCTCTTTATCCTCCATTGCAAAAGTTTGGTATGGTTCCTTTATTGATCTACATGAATTGAGGGTTTTGAATGAGGAGTTTAGAAAGTTAGATTAGAGAAGTGTGTTTGTTTTAGCTCTCAAGTCAAAGACTTCAATTTTAAGGCAAAGCAAGCATACCAAACATCTAAACTACCGATAATCATCACTCTTCTAGCATGCTGCTTCAAATTTACCGTCTTTCGTCTACCACCCCAAAGCCTAACCTACCTGTATTATTATCAATCCAGGATCAAACTGTATGTGCTTACTACAGTCGGTACGGGATCTGCAAGTTTGGTCCTGCATGTAAATTTGACCATCCGATTCAACCGGACTCCTCAACAGGGTCTCTTGATCGTCATCAGTTTCATGCCTTTGGAAACTCTGGCACCGACGAAGAAGATGGGAGACTGGCTGAGAACGTAGATTCAAATATCTGACCGGTAGCCCTTGTAAACTTTTTTGCATCTAGGTGCTTTGCTGTATCTTCTAGGATCCTTACTGGTGAAGCTGATTGATTTCAGTACTACTTTTCTGATAACCTTGACAACTTCCGGAACCTTTTTCTGTTTTTGTAATTTACTGGGATAGGGGAAAGTGAGTAGGAGTGTTCAACTGCCACAAGCTTTCAAACATCAAACTGTGGCATCATCCATCGTATAACTTAACCATGTGATGTGTGACTGGGCCTAAGTGAAGGCAGGATGTGTAAATTCTATCATAGTTTGGTATCCGGCAAAGTTTACAAGTTTCAGTTTCCTATTCAAAGAAAAAAAAAATAGTCAGTTACTTTTGTAGGCCCTTTGTTTCTTATAACCTGAAAAGTGGAATTGTTTTTCTTTTTGAAATATGCCAGGATTTATTTTATTTTTTATCCCAACTTTGTTTAGATTTTTTTATATTATCCTACCCTATTAAAATGTTATTAACTAGCAAAATCTTTTGTAATGCATCAAAATATTAGGCATGTTTACGTTATCATTAATCATTTTGTAACTCTTTTCTTAGTTAAAATACTAAAATTTTGGAATGTTAATCTTCATGTGTCTCTTTCAAGGCAGTATCATGTTGTCAAGTCAATATTACTAACAAAATTGCTAACCGGAAATTAACTAACATTTGGTTCATTCTTAGTATTTTGATAGGTTTGGTTAATAAAAAAGAATCCAAAAATGTTTGTCTAATAAATAGTCATCATCCTTTTTTAAAGGGTTATTTGCATAATTTGGTCACTGAGAATATGAGATTACAACAAACGTTTATGTTTGGTCACTGGAATTATTTAAATCTAATCTTGGTCACTCAAATTAGTTAAATGGTTCAAGTTTAGTCACTCTCCGTCCAACTCCATTAACTCTTGCTTATGTGACAGTCAACTTTTATAGTTTACCGTTAAATTTGTGACGTGACAATTAAAAAGATAATTAATTTAATTTAGTTTTGATATTTTCCACCTCATTTCTACCGAAAGACGGGGTGGCAATGCTGACCGATCGTCACTCCCCCGCCATCCTCTAATTCTCCTAGCCACTTCCTCCACGTCCCCGCCGCCGACCATGCTCTCTCCTCTCCCTTCCGCCGCCTGCAACGACGGCGCCGCCACCTCCATGACCATCCTTGAAATCACCACCGACCAAATCAACAGCCTGAGAGACCAAATAAACAGCCTTAGAGACCAAATCAAAGGCAAAATACATCACTTACCAGATCCTGACTGCCACATCTGACATACCGTCACCAGAGCCCGTGACCTCACCGCCGACCAACCCACCAAGCTCCACATCTCCATCGACGGTCGATCTCGGCTCAACCCGCCGCTCCCCGCCAGTTACCAAGGGAACTGCGTCTTCCATGCGACACCCACGACAGAGGTAGGGGAATTGGTCTCCGAGCCGCTGATTCGGACCGTGGATCGGATCCACGGATTAAGCAGATGGACGACGAGTATTTGAGAGCTGCAATCGATTACCTCGAGGATCCCAATGATTCGTCGGCGATTATGCAGGTTCCGGGGACCTGCAGGACGTCGAATCTGAAGATTATTAGCTGGATTCGACTGTCGTTCAAGTGCGCGCCGATTTCGGGTGGGGCACGCCGATTATTAGCTGGATAGCAACTTCTTTGTAATTGACTACTTATGTTCGAATAACATAAGCATTAAAAGTAAACATCATGGTTGGGATTGTACATGGACTATTGGTCGTGTTTGGGCCGACACGACATGGGCATATGCTTCAGGCCTATTTATTTCGTGTCGTGCTTGACATGGCCCGTCACTTTTCGTGCCGTGCCGTGAAAGCCTATTTGTTAACTTTGCTATGCCCGGCCCAGGCCCGAGCATGGTTGGAATTGTGTCATGCCTGTTCGTGCTCGTGCCGTGCTCGTATTCGTGTCTAATGAAAAGGAAGAAAATAAAAGAGAGAATGAAAAAGAAGGTGAAAATTGGATGAAAAAAGGTAGTATTAACCGAGAATGTTTGAGAAAAGTAACAAATAAGGGAAAAAAGAAAATTGGAAGTATAGCGGGTGTGATTTGGCTTTGTTTAATTCTTCGTCCATTTTAACTTATGGTAGTAATTACGTATATATTTTTATGACACTTTTAACAACAACAAATTATTATTTTTCTACATGTATTTTGTAATATTCGAACCTATAATTCTTTCTATATCTATTTTCTATCAAATGAATGTTATTTTTGTGCCATGTCCGTTCTTATATTCAATAAAATCTCAAAAATATTAGGCCCAACACGACCCGCTTATATACCGTGACGTGCCCGTGCTCGTGCCCATGAAGTGTAGGCCCAGCACGGCCCATAAATTATTCGTGCTCGTGCCAGGTTGGCCCATTTATTTCGTGCCCATGCTCGTGTCGTGCTCTAACCGTGCCGTGTCGTGCTAGCCCGTGGGTGGCCCGTCCCGGTGCCCACGTAGAGTTGGGATTCCCGATTGATAGTGGTTTACTATAAGTAACTAAAGAAGTAAATAAACAAAGCAAGTACATAAAGATAGATATATAAGACTTAACTATTGTTTAGGTAGCTTCATCTAGATGATCATACCCAAAATCTCAATAATGACATGCATTCATGTATCTCTTTTATTATGGTGAAGGCATCTTAATTCTGGCAATGCTTTATGTGTGGACTCAGACAAAACTTATTTTCCTTGATGGATGCTAATAGGATTGACATTGATGGAAAATCTCTATGGCTAGGAAAGGCTAGGACTTCAGATGAAGGTTTGTTCAGCCCCACCTAAGCGAAGGTTCTAGCCTCGAACCTTTAACTCAAGCCTTCTCCTACCTTCGATTGATTGTGTTGTTGTAAATTGTAATGTTTTATCTACCCTAATAAAGAAGCCTATAGATTGAAACCTAGGGGATGGAAGATCGATAGCTAATGATAAAAGGCATTAGAGGGTCGTTACTCTACCGACTTAGTGACTCACGTGATTTAGAGCGAAGCCAACCACAAATGGTAAATGGAAGTAGAAAATGTTGGCAGAGCCGCCGATTTAGAGGGTTTTCTCTAAATCTCATTTCGAGTGATGTTCCCCTAGAAACTCGTCCCCATTGTCGACTATGTAGCTCTTGATTTTGGTATATATATGATTTGATATCTTCTATCTTTCTGTTTGGTTACTTACTTTGTTTATTGTTTATGCGCTTGTGTGCATAAAACAAGGACTATTTCAAATGATATATCCTCAAACCAAACTTTGCGGTTTGATGATATTGGACACGACAACCACTCGCCATCGATCATCTATCGATGAAACTGTGACTCTTTCCTAACTACACACTTAAATCCCGACTAAAGCCCAAGTGTAAACTCTAGAATAATGTAGTGTATGGAAAGTGTTTTAATTGTCAACCTGAGGCAGTCCATGTACTCTTACTTCCATCTATTGAATTTTTATCTCGCAAAAGATTTGGAGTTAAAAGCTAAAGACTACAACCCTAAATAAGCAAAGAAAGTAAATTGACGTGGTTTCTATAAAAGAAGATTTTACCTAGGTATTGCTCCCCCTAACCCTTGTATCAAGGTTGACCGAAAAGAATGCTATTGCGGAAAGGTGTGCTCATACACCAAGGAAAATTAAGCTAGGAAACTAGCTCTCTTGGCTGATCGACTAAGGGTTGCTAAGACTACTGCCTCGGAACGTGATCCGAACGACAAAATAACAACCAATCATGGTAGGTTCATGGTTCTAAATCGATGTTTGAGGCTTGCCCTCAATTGCCCTATGTGGGTGACCCAAGTGGTCAATAAATACAGCTCTTGAAAGCCTCAACAAAGGGGATTTCCTCCACCTAGGTCAATTTGACCTAATTATGAGATGTGAAGAACAATACTAAAAAATTCTAAAAATACCTCAAACATTGCATTAAACACAAAACCACACACATAACATTCAGTCCATACAACTTATCAAATCTCTTAGGGTAGGGTTCACAATACCCAAGTGATAAGGAGAACTACTTCATAGCTAGGCTAGGGATTACAATAGGCAAGATGTTTGTCCTCCTTCCTTGTTGCTGAAATCACCCTCGAGAGATGAAAATCTTCAATCCTCTGGCTTTGAGAAAACCCTAAGCCTCTTATTCTTTCTTTGTTCGTTAGTTTCTCTCTCTAATTTTTGAAGAAGGCCACTCTCTCACTAGTGGGAAGTGATCTCCTTGGCCGTGATCTTTGCCTTTCTGTCCATTTCGATCCGCTTTCGCCCTCTTTCGTTCAAATTTCGCTCCCGAGGTCAATTCCACCTGTTAAAACCAGAAACATGCTAAAACTTGCCCAAACCTAGTGTAAAATTGAACCTCGGGCGATGAAAACGCCTCAAATATCACAAGAATATGGGGTGGAACATATGTAATTAAGCCCAAATCAAACTCCCCCACACTTGTGCGTTTGCATGTCCCCAAGCAAACCAATCTCAAACAAGGTAGTAGTTCAACCTAAACATCATAACTCGGGGACATGTCCAAAGGCACAAAGAGGATGGATCTCAAACTTCTATTTGGCACCGACATATGGACAACAATACGCAATGACTCCTCACCAATCACCACCAAAAATGACATTCGAATGCATTAAGAACGTGCAAACGAAAATTTCTCACCATGTTCACAAACCAAAACATATCCTGCAATGACGACTCACCAACCACAGTTTTCCATGCATAAAGATCACGTCATAGGAACAAACGAATGAGCAAACTAGGTCATCACCGAGGTATGATATGATAAAGATAATATGAATGAATCACTCACTCTCGACCACTGGGGTCAGTACCATTTTGATGCAAAAGATGTGCATACTCAACACTCAACGCTATCGTCTGTTCACCATGATGGTAACCTCTAAATGCTAGAGCTCACAAGATGGATTTCATCACTAGCTTGCCCGAAGATCTTAGACACGAGTTCTAATGATTGGC